TATGTGCTGTATTCATACGTGTTGTTGAATCAACAGATGATGATGATTGACTTGATGAACCAGCAACAATAATAGGTTTCATTGATTTTAAACTTGTATAATTATGTGTAGGTGAATCGTCTTCATAACAAAAACGAGTTTTTAATGGTGATGAACTTGCAATACGTTTACCATTTGCTAAATTATATGGACAAGTACTAAGGCCATTTGTTTTAATTAATGATTTTTTTTTATTAATTTTTTTATGTAAACGATCGATCGTATATAAAATTAATATTATTATAACAGTAGAAAGAAATATAGATGTACCAATAATTATAGCAAAGAATTGTTTACGTGTTGATAATGAAGATAAAAGTAATGAATATTTCGATGAATTAGAAGATTTTGGTGTTGATTGCATTGATGATCCATAAGCCATTCGTTTACCTTGTTGAAATTGTTCAGTAACAAGACGCTAGAAAAATAAAGCATAGATTATTATTTTTTTTATTCTCAATCAAATGATTCTTACTAATGATGTTTGATCGTTGTTATGATTATTTTTTAAAACATTTAACCAATCTGTTCGATTTGTACCAATAAATAAACGTAATGTTTCAACAATAAGACAAGGTGTTGGTTGACCATGATCACTTATTTGTACATGAAGAATAATTAATGAATCTTCTTGAATTAATTTTGAATTTGTTTCTATAAATAATGTTCCATTTGAATATAAATGTATAAATGGTGGTGATGTTAATGATGAAAGTTCAAATGTTATTTGTCCATTTAAACCTTGATCATTATCAGATGCAATAAGATGAAATGGAAAGTTTTTATGTGTTATATCACGATTAATCATTATAAATGATGTTTCTATATGTAATTGTGGACAATGATCATTCTCATCAAGAATTTCGATTGAAAAAGAAATATTTGTTGATTGTGGTGGATTACCATTGTCTGTTATAGTAAGTAAAAGTTGATAAGAAGATACTAATTCACGATCTATTAAACCATTTACAGTAATTACCATTTGTATGGTTGACTATGAAAGAAGAAAATAAGGAATTATTATAGTTGTGCATCAGTTAGAACTTATGTCCTAACGTTATATCCTATTCACTAATGATTTTATCAGTCTACAATTGTTTTGTATATATTCCTGGAGAGTCTTCGAACTTCTTAGTAAATAAAAGGATACCAATTAAAAAGAAGTCTATAATCTATTGCATATTTTTTGAATGAAATATTCAAAATTCTGTAGTATTGTTTATAATAAATATAGGCATTTGAGTATTGTTCAAAAAAGAGTGATTTATGAGTATTGCCTATTTAATTATCATATTGATAATTTATTTACTGAAGTGTTACTCAAGAATTTTTTATTATGATAATTCAAATATCGAATCATTTATGACAATTAATAGATTATATCATAATTCTTACCTCAGATGTATTACTTTTTGTCGTCACTATTTCAAATGGAATATTATATGTAGTTCTATTCAATAATCTATCTTCTAACCACCATTGTGCATAGACATTCATTTGTCCATTTATTCCATCTGTATCATCATCATGACATATTATTGTGGCAACGATAGTTCCTTGTTTACTATTTTCCATAACTGATAATGATGCACTGTTTTTATCAATATTACAAATGGGTGGATATTCATTACGAGAAATAATAGTAAATGTTATTGTTGCTTTTGATGATAATGGTGGTACACCTGTAACAAAAAAAAATACAATTGATTGAAATTTTTATTGAGAATTAACTATGGTTTAACGAATAAATAAAGTTCTTCATCGTATGTTTATACTTGTATGAGAAAATAGGATCATTCTAACAAAGAGGTGCTTGATCTGAATAGGAAAAATAATTAAATTTATAATACAAATGACTTTAGATAACGCAAGAATAACCAAAAAGGCTATCACATTCAAACAGAACAAGAGAATTTCGTTAAGAGGTGTAAATTAAGCTCAAATATTTTGAACTTGAAAGATGATTATAACCTTTATCTGTTGCTTGTATCTGTAATACATAAGTATTTTTTTGTTTACGATCAAATTCAACCATTGCTCGAATAACTCCTGTTTGTGTATCAATTTGAAATAAATTATTATTTTGATTTAAAATTGAATATGTAACTTCAGCATTTTGTCCTTGATCATAATCATCCGCTTGAACATGATATATTTCATAACCATTTTGATTATTTAATTTAACATGTTCACTAATTGTTACTTGAATATCATCTTGTCGAAATATTGGTGCATTATCATTTTCATCTAAGATAGTAATATGTATACTTAAATAAGTAGATTTCGATTTTGGTTTGCCATGATCATGTGCTTCAAGTTTAAAATAATATTCTGATATATATTCTCGATCAAGTAAACGTTTTGTACGTAATTCACCTGTAGTATCTGTTAAACGTATTAATTCAAAAGGTATCAATGATGAACGATCAAGTTTCCATGTAACACGTCCATTCTCATCTGAATCTTGATCAATTATTGATAATGATAATATTAAAGAATTTATTGGTAATAATTCACTTAAAGAAAGTTGTAAACTATTTGAATTATTTTGTATATCATTTGGATAATAATCAATTATAGGATAATTATCATTTTCATCCATTATATGAATGATTAATCTATATTCAAATAAGTTTTATAGAGAAAAAAAACAATTTTTACTTTTAAACTTACGTGCAAGTATCTGTTTTTGATCCTTCACCACCATCTCTTGCTTCAATTTCTAAACGATATTTGGTTTGTAGTTCATAATCTAATACACATATAACACGTATATCACCAGTTATATGATCAATTTGAAAACAATTTTCTTGTGTTATTAAATGATATGTTATTTCGCTATTAACACCTTCATCTTTATCAGTAGCATGTACTCGAATAATAATTGAATTCATTAAAATATTTTCACTAATATTTTGTATTATATATATTGATTGATCAAATTTTGGTGGAGAATCATTAACATCATCGATAGTTAGATAGACATGTAATCGACCTGTTTGATTTCCACCATCATACGCAATTATATCGAATGTATAGGATGATATTAATTCACGATCAAGATTTTGTTCAACAACAAGAGATAAATCACCACGTATTAAATCATATCGAAGAGAAAATGGAAGTGAAGTTGGTGATATAAGTGAATAACCTTAAAAAAAAGGTATTTTCTAATAAGTTTGTCATAGCTAAATTATTGAAGTAGTTAGATAATCTTAACTAGATAAATATGTTTCTTATAATTCCAATGAGAATTGATATTCTTTTAGAATTTTTTATTCGAACATTATGTCATATTTGTGTGTAGTGAAAAATAAATTACTGAAATCTCAGAAGACATTATAATCAATTGAATACAATATAGTGTGAAGATGCCGCTCGGAAATTTGTTCTGATGTTACGACTATTGTTCAAGTCTTGACATATGAAATATTGTTATGTCAGAGATGTTCTTATGGTAGACGGAATTCTTATATTTTTTTTCAATCTTTAACAGCGAAAAATGAATTGTAATGGATAGTATCAGTTGGCACTTTGAATTTTTCTTTAGAGACAAAGAATTGTATAAACACAATGGAAATAAAACTAATATTGTAATGACCTTGACGCCTTAGTATTGTTCTTTTAATGATGTTTATTGTCACTGTTTAGATAGACAATCTTCTATGATATATATATATTGTTGATTTTGTGTTGGATATAGAAATCAAATTATGTATTATTTCTCTAGAATCTCGTATATTTTTTATCTTCTCATTCTTCGTCTATATTACACTTAACTATGTATTAAATTTTCACAAAAACTATCTATTAGATAATACTTCAGAGTAAAGTGTTCGACACTTATATAGTTTATAGGATACTTCATTTAATTATTCTCAGATTGATTGAGAGTAAAATAATCTAACTTCATATGTAAATATTCCTTAGAAAAAAACTAATTTATATTCATACCAATAATTCCATTTTGTCCTTGATCATAATCAATAGCTGGTTCAAGTTTAATCATTGCTCCAATTTGTGCATTTTCAACAATAGTTAAATTAAGTGGATTGTTTAAACTGGAAAATTGTGGGCTATGATCATTTTGATCAAGTATACGTATTGTAATAACTTCAATATTAAATTGTTCATTATTAACAAATATTTCAAGTTCTAAATCACACCATGTATCACAACGACAACGACGTAAACGACATAATTCATCACGATCAATTTCTTTACGTATTGTTAATATTCCACGTGATGAATGATTTATTAAAAAGAACATATAAGGAAATTCGTCACGTTTAGCAAGAGTAAAATCGGCACTTTTACTATCAGAAATATTATTTGATAATAAAAGACGTCGAAGATTAATGACTTCGGAATGAACTGGTAATTTTTCAATAGTACGAATTACAAAACGTTTTTCTTCTTCTTCTTCGTATTGTTGTTGTTGTCGTTGTTGTTGACAATAACAACAATAAAACATTATCAATAAACCAAATATATAGAGATTAAAGACGATTGCAGGCATGGCATGATGAGAGAAATAAAACAAGCTACAATCATGCCATTATCTCAATATTCTAGAAGAGAAAGAAAAACTAAAGTTCATTGTTCAAAAATGAATGTCAATTAGACTGTCTATCCGGAAATGGTCAAACAGACGTATTTGTCGATCTTACTCATGATCATGTTACATACTATTATTTCGAATAGAAATATATCTGTACACTCAAGGAAATATCTTGTTTAGCATTGTGACAAGCAACATGAGATACTGACGAGAGAGAGAGAGACAAAAAAAAACGATTGAAGTCAACAACTATGTCATGCCCATTAAAACGATTGTTAAAATGCCCGTTGGCATTAAGTGTCTATCACTTGTCTGGACAGCTGCTATAACTAAGAAATAATATTATCACAATTCACTATACTTTCTTTTTCACACATGTTATTATCGATGTACCATTAATCGAAATAAGTGCTATGACTTACATAAAAAATGTTGTTTTGAAAATATCTAAATGTAAATCTTTATCTTACTCCATAGAGTATATCAAAGGATCAGTTATAGTAATACTACTTGTTGTTATTGTATATAGACACATTTATTTGTTTCAATATGACCTACACATACTTCTAGTTTTAATCAATTTTTTTCTCTCTCTCTCTCTTCTTCTTCTCTCTCATCATAAAACAAGAAGCCGCCAATACGGGCATCGTCTCTCGTATCTCCTTACGTGTAATTGCACTCGACACCAACGCCTAGTTCATCATCACTCAAGCAAATTGGCTTGAGGCCTGTTCATTCTTTTATACAGTACATCTCTCTCTCTCTGTATATATATATACATACCTACTTGACTGTCTCGTTTTTCTCGAACATAAGGCAATATATAAAATGTATTACATTTATTCATTCACTAGCTTACGTGAGCATAATAATAATGAACATAGTACGATGGTAGTTATTTTTTATTTATTGAAAAACATCAACTCTCTCTATTTATTATGAGAATAATCGCCTATACCATCACCTGTTCTTTCTATTTGATAGACATACAAAAAAAAGAAGAAGCAAAAAGAAAATAAATAAACAAATACTACGATAGTTAGTAATGACAGATGTTCTTTTATATGTCGCATAGATGTGATCAATCAAATAGCAAACAAAGACAAAAGTATTCAATAATGTTTGCCTTTCATTATTTTTGTCCTCGTATGATGTCTTCCGCTTATTTCTTTTTTTTTCGAACATAATCAGCAGTCTCTTTTACTATTGTCATTTCCAGAACAATATTCTTATGTAAAGGACACATTGTCATCTGATAATTTTTTTTTCTCAAATATTTAATTTACTCTCACTGTATTCAATTAGAAGAAAAAAAAAAGGTCAATTCATATCGTCATTTTCTGTTCTAGACAAAAAAAATTAATAATTAATCAATAATATAATGATACTTATTGCTACAGGGATTAAAAATCATCGTCTCGAGTGAACGACAATCAATAAACAACTACCTCGTTTTTTTTCTCCTCTTCTATTGATCTCAATAATCATATTGTATATGAGCGAACGAAATAAAAGGTGTGTGAATAAGGAAGAGAACATCTTCATATTAATACTTAACACGCGATAGAATGATGACGATTCAATTAGAAATTTTCTCTTTGATGTATATGCGAATAAAATACTTTTATGTCCGAATGTGTTGATGACAATTTTATTCTTTAAGTTGTCGCAAACATTCTTTTTCTCTTTTTACTAACAAGATTCACAATTTTACTTTGTATGTTCATATACAGATGGTCGGATTGAGGCGACTAATCGAATCAACAAAAGAGAAAGAAAATGTATATGCGTATGTGCTTTCATCAGTTTATAATAGTATTGTCAATGAAATATTGATTTAACTATAAACTAAGAAAAAAATTTATTTCTTATTTTTACTTAATATGATCTTAAGCTTATATCTTCTATCTATTCTATATTAATTTCCAGTTAAATTAAAACCAATGTATATATATGTAAGAGAATATGACAACTCTATTATTGATATTCTATGCTCAACATTCTCAATGATGTAATATATCATCTTAACAAGAAGATTACCTCGATGAACACATATTGAATATATAAAATAATCAAAACAAAAGCAATTTGCTTTTCTAAGTTTAGTCACGCTTCTCCTATATGTCTATTTCATTCTTTCTAATAATAAGAAAGAATAACATAGTCGATATCATCATCAATTTAACATAACATAAGAAAAAGAAAAACCAATGACTTCCGTCGATCACTCCCTTTTCTTCCGAAATAGACAAGTAAATCAGATTAGTCTTCTTACTTGATATTGCTGCCGGGCGACACAGTTGAGAAAGTTCAATTAATCGGGCAGATTTCTATTCAATTATGATTCCTATTCTCATCATGAATTGACTCAATCAACATTCTTTGTTCTCTATATGTATCAATAACGAATATATATATATATATATATCTCAGTTGTCTGTTTCACTAACTGAGCAATACTGCTGTTGTTACCTTAATATTGACAAATGAACATGTACTAATTGTAGATTGATGATGTTGTTATTACAGATAGGATATAACAATTGTTATGTATGTCAATCTTTTTTTTTTTCTCTTAGTTATATATGTTCAATTAGAAAATAAGTGCGAATACGAGAGAATGTCGTTCAATACAATTTTTCTTCTCTATCTTTCAAGTGCTATCGATCTTGAAGATGATGTAATCTATTTTCTTTTAACGTTATTTCCATAGATGGTCATGGTTTGAATTCTTTTTCTCTCGGTTTTTTTTCTTCTTCGTCTTTTTACTTGTCCATTCATTATTATTTTTCTCTCAAGAGACTCGTCGCGTTCCGCGTACGTAGTTTTACATAAGTTTCTCATTGTCTAACCGAAGTTGAGCTCAATGTTCGAGAGAAACAATCATCGTGACAAAGTCTCTTGGGACATGCAAAGCGGCAATAATGATGCCGCCCAATATTCTCATTAGCGTGACGATTGTTCTTGTGTCAAGGATAAAAGTAAAATAAACGATCATAGAAAAATTAAAAGTGAAAATCAGTTGTTGTTATTATTCTTCATTGTATTAACTATTTATTGTAATATAGCTAGATTTAGATTAAATCACATTGGAAATAGAAATGATTGATATGTAGATTTGATGAAAATGACATGTTCTTATTGTATAAGTAGTTTAAAATCATAAAAGAAATTCACTGTATTTAATACGAAAATAGTCTACAAAAAGTAACTAAATGTAACGATGTCAATTCTTCTTCAGTCAAGTTGATCTGCATATAGTTCACTGATAATAAAATTATTAGAAGATTTATATAAGAATGGTACTTATCATATCGACGAAATATTAAATTCAAATGAATATCAACGTTTCGTCAAGCATAATAATGTATTATTAGTACGATTTAAATTTTCTATCATGTTAAATCATAGATTAATTAGAATCTAGTATATTATGAATTTTCTGAAGTAAAATAACAGATGAAACTATAGAATTTCTTGAGTCTCTAAATTTATTTTTTTCTTTCATAGATATGTCATCGATAAATATTATTGATTTATGCAAAACTAAATCAGATCTGCATCATCCTAATTCAACTTCATCAATTGATTAATGATCTTATTCATAAAATTTCAAATGTATTTTATTAATCTTCAACAAGTTAAGTTTATTTTTGCATCCGGAGCATGTTCTATTAGATAAATAAAACTACTATCGAATTTTTTAAAGAAAAGCTTACGACTTTTGATGGAAAAGACATAACGACCTGCCAGTTGCATCATTCAATAGAGGATAACCGGAGGTACATGTCTATACGTGAAAACTATTCCTCCAAAGTATCTTTTCAAATTATTCCAGTAGTCTCACAAGTCTTTTTTAGAATAGTATATTACCAACTTCGAACATTTTCTTTTTTAAAACTAGCTATGCATGGGCATATACTCTCGGCTGTTGTCTACTGAATGGTGAAAACCACAGGTCGATATGACTTTTTATTCAAGAGTTATAAGCTTTTCTTCCACGAGCCTTCTTTAAAAATTCCGATAGTAGTAGACTATGTTCACAATATATTCGATATGTTCTTTCCGTACAAAATTTTTGTTCGTTTCTATTAGGTTAATAATATTTTTAATAAGATATGAGATTATTACAAATGAAAATGTACATAATACTTAATATTTCAAATTGGATTTGTCAGATTCTGTCAGCTTTAACAAATAAATAATGACACATTGTTGATTAAATGCTCGAAAATCTCTTTGTTAAAATACATAATGATCTTTAGAATAACGATATACTAAAACTACAATTGAATATTTTTTTAGTATTAAAATCGAGAAGAAATAAATAATTGATAACTCATGTACATTTCGATATGTATGCTATTCTTTTATTAAAGATAATATACGAGTAAATCTTATTTATTAAACATTTCAATATATTAGAGTACTATTTTTACAGAAATAGAATCAATATACTGATTATTCTTGATTACTGCTACTTTTGATTAGATCAATATATAAATTTCATTTCTGTTTATTTGTACTTTTAATCGAATAATAATAGAGAATTATTTATTTTCATCTCTAACGCTTAGCTGTTGATTAAATTCAGATTTTGTTATAATATGATCATTATTGCTGTCAAAAAATTTAAATAAATCATTATTTGAACTATGTAAATATTGATGTTCATCAAAGCCACGTCGAAGTCTCCATCGACCAACAATTAAATGGTACTCATGAACCTATAGAAAAATGTATGAATAAATATTTTTTCGTATCTAAAAAACATGATAATACTTTTTGTAAATATCGTATTAACTCTTCTTTCGAATGAAAAAA